AGGCTTAAAGTCATTAAAAATTTCTAGATTAGTCAAGTGATAATGTAACTCCTATATGCTAATATGGGTTAAGTAGTGAAAAAAAACCTATAAAAGCATTTTTAATGCTGGTCAATTCGATAGTTTGAGTTTTTGTAATGTTATACTCCTTTCCCCCAATTTCTTACGTGGGTCTGTAAAAAAAAAAAATTTTTTTGAAAAGCAAAAATTTATTAAGCATAATTTATATATGGAGCCCTCAATCCATGTACATTATTGAGAATTAATTTGCACTGTCTTAATTCCAAGGCCTTAATCTATTATCCTGACTCCCCAATGTTTCCAGCTATGGCATTTCATTTATCACCAGATACCTTAGGATTAATAATTCAATATAACACCCATGATTTATTAGTTTGAGTGAAAAACAACTTGATTTTATTTAAATAAAATTTAAAATTTAAAATTTAAATCTTATAAAAAAAATAATAATAAGTGTTAAAAAAAAACTTGATTTTATATAAATAAAATTTTAAATTTAAATCTTATAAAAAAAATAATAATAAGTGTTAAAAAAAAACTTGATTTTATATAAATAAAATTTTAAATTTAAATCTTATAAATAAAAAAAAATAAGTGTTAGGAGAACTTCCCTTCTAGAGTACAATATGATTAAACTTCAAGGAAACTTTATTTGGAAATCGAATCCTCCCTTAGAGACGGTTTTTAAAAATTTTTGGTGTTGTTTAGGCTGAATTTTGGGAAAAAAATTAAAGTTGCTGAGATTGTGTGAATTTATAAAATTATTATGATAGGAATATAATAATAATAACAGTTTATTGGTTCAACTTGTAAAAAATTAAATAAATTTTTTTTAAATGTTGTTATTTTAATAATTTATTATTAAAAAATATTAAAATAATTATTTTTAAAATAAAAAAAAAATAAAAGAAAAGTACATATTAGTTCTGATTTCTAAGATAAATTGGAGTTATAATCCTAAATTATGTCATTTTAATTAATTAAAAACTTGTTTAGTATAGCAATTAAAATTTAACAGATAATAAATAATGAGTAGCGAGTAGTGAGTAGCGGATAGCGAGTGGCAGTTAATCAATAGTGGGTGGTGAATACCGAAAAACGAGTAATGCATCATAAATAACGGATTTGATTAATATAACTGTTTGATTATATAATAATTAACAATTGTTATTCAAAATTAAATGATTAATAAAGACATATTTAAAAATAATTAAGCTCATATTTTTATTTTTATTTTTTGTTATTAAAATCATTAATTTGATAAAAATAATAAAAAATAAATAATAATAGTATAGTCATAGACTAATTTTTATTTTTAATGAAAATTATATTAGTTTTTTTTTTTTGAACTTAGCGAAATTGTTGGGGATAGAGGGAGTAGTGCCTGAGAATAAATTTCAGGACTTTCACATCCAGGCACGTTCCACTCAGGAGGTGGCCAGTAGGCCACATGATGTTGGACAAAATTATATTAGTTTTAAATAAAGTACAAAAAAAAAATTGAATCTTTCATCTAATTAACAAATTTTGTTTATTAAATTAATATATTTCTATAATAAATTAATGTAAAAATGCAAATATAATAATCAATTCATATTATTAAAAATAAATTTAAACCTAATTAAATAAGTATTAATTAAAAACCATGACTAAAAATTAAAAAATTAAAATGGATAAATTTGTCAATAAAATTAAAAAATTATAATCCACTAATGATTTGGTATAAAAAGTTATCTTAAATAGTTTTTTCAATCTACTAGTGGTTTAGACCCTATCCGCTACCTGTTAATTTCAAACCGCTAAATAAAAAAGTTTTACTAAATACATAGTTTGCAATAGTTTCAAAATAAGTAAGTTTATCAAACGCCTATTTTCAATAGTTTGAACAAAATCACTAATCATTATTCCCAAATTGCTATATCAAATAGGTCTTAAAACTCAATTAAAAATTTAAAAATTTATTTTATTAAATTTTGATATTTAAATTTAAAAATTAATTATATTAAATTATATAAGCAATTTCTAAATCTAAATGTTAATATTTAATAAAATTGAATTTTGAATTTTGAATTAGGAATTAGGATTATGGTTTCCAAATGTAGATTGAGACTTTACTTTCTTTTTGAGAGTTATAAATATGATACACATTAATTTTATAAAATAATACTATTTTACTAATATATTTTATTAAAATGATATCATTTTAAAGTATTTTATGTTTAACTTTTTACAAATCCCATCAATAAATACATCTTATAAAAAAAAAAAAAAAACGACGACAGTGAAAACGATGACGGAGAACATGATGGAGAGTGTTCCCCTCTCCATGGAGGAGCGAGCAAATCTTGAGCATAGTCGCCGACGTGGGAAGCGACAGAGAGCATTTGATCCACCATTGGAGGAGGCTTTGGATGGCTTGTCGATTGTCTCGGAGAAATAGCAGCCCACGAAAGCAATGGATATCACGGAGGCATCTAGGAAACTAGAAAGACCAAAAGTGTCTTACCGTGATAAGCTCACCAATGCGGCTGGGCATGAGGATGAGTGGAAAGATTGGGGAGAAATAGGGGAAGGGAATGATCCGCTATTGGAGAGCTTCGAGGCTACTAACGGTGAGACGCTGGAAGAAGGCATCCCAAATGCTATTTTTACAAAATAGGAGAAAGAAGCACTATGGAAACCATGGAGGAAGGTTGTAATCGTAAAACCCCTACACTATTCTGTTGGCTATAAGGTGCTTTGTGATAGGGCAAAATAGCTATGGAGTCTTTCAAGGAATTTTCATGCAATCGATTTGGGGTTTGGAAGCTTTTTATTCCGATTCTCAAATAAGGATGATTACAAGAGGGTTATCACAGAAGGGCCTTGGCAGATAGGAGGCAATTGTGTAGTGGTTCATCGATGGCACCCAAATTTTAGAGTGGATTCAGATGTCATTGAGAAGATTAATGTCTAGGTTCGTATCCCTGCACTTCCAATTTGGTGCTACAATGATGTTGGAATGCAGCATGTCGGAGAACAATTAGGTAAGGTGCTTAAGATGGATTATGCAACCAAGCATGCTGTGAGGGGGAAATATGCTAAGGTATGTGTAGAAATAGACCTCACCAAAAAACTCCCTGGTGTTGTTTATGTGGATGGAGATAGCAATGGTTACCCGGTTGCTTATGAAGGCCTAGATAAAATATGTTTTGAATGTGGCTGGTATGGGCACCGGCGGGAGGAGTGCAAATTGACCCAGGAGAAGAACACAACACAGGAAGCTACGAGACTTGCTCAAGCAAATGAATTGAACCAGGCACCGGCTAAGCAACACATGAGAGTATTGGCAGATCAGAATAAGGCTACTTTGGCGGCAGGACCGACGACTGCTCCACCAGCAGCGGAGGTTGGTCCATGGATGCTTGTATAACGACAACAAAATAGGAAACAAATGCCCAATAAGGATAGTGCAGATCATCGTAGTAACCAGAAAGGAAATAGATCAAATGCAAAATCAATGTCTACTCATAGTTTCGCGATTCTTGAGGAATTTAATGAGAATAAATCTGGTTCTCGACGGGCTATTTCTTAGCGGGCTGCTAGGGTGAATCAAGTCCAGGGAGGAAATAAATCGAGTGGAGGTAGCAAATCAAAAGGTGGGAATGGTATTGTAGGAAAAAACTTCAATGGAGAATTGGTTAAATCTATTAGAAATGGAGGTTCCAGTCAAGCAACGGCTAAGGCCCTAAATCTGACGATTAAATGGCAACAAAAAAGGAAAGTTGTTGCTGTGGCGGAAAAAAGCCCTGAGGCTCCTACTAAGGCCCAAAATCTAAGTGGGCCAGGTGAAACTTCTATAGCTGCAACCAATTCCATGAAGCTACCCAAAGACTTTCGAGTGGACCTACCTAGTCTTACTTCAATTCGCAAACAAAGACAGCAGCCTAAGAAATTAGGGAAGAGCCCACAAGTGAAAATTGCGTTTACTAAGCCTACATCTGATTCTAAGGGGGTAGCATCATTAAAAAACTTACCGCCACTGGGTTTTCATGAGGACGATGGCCTTTTTGTTTTCAGCAGGACTCAAGATGCAAACCTAACCATCACAAAAGATGGGTTTGTCCCAGTGATGGAGGTTCTTATGCAACAGGAAACCACTTTGATGGAACAAGACACTACATCAGCTTTGCTTAGTGACAGACAACATTTGCAAGTCAATGAGAAAGCTATGAGCGTCGAACGAGTAGAGGTGATGCTTTTGACTCAGTGGTGGATCTGACGGACAATCTAGTGTCAGGTGCAGGCTCCTACACAAAAATAAATTAAAGGGAGTTTCCGTTCTCTCTTTAATTCTTCCTTTTTACCTTAGTTTATTTTATGGATTTAACTATTTTATTTTGGAATGTTAGGGGTGCAGCAAGCAAGGGATTTTTGCGGACTGCACAAGAATTGATTAAAAAACACAAACCAGATATTTTTATTATTGCTGAGCCAAGAATTAGTGGCACTACTGCAGATGATAGAATTAATGATCTAAGGTTTGATGAGTCTGTTAAAGTAGATGCTAAAGGCTTTTCAGGTGGTATTTGGATTCTATGGAATAGAACTATTAGGGATATAACAATTCTAGACTGCTTCTCACAAGCAATTACTTTACTTGTCAAGCAAGCTCATAGGGATCCATGGCTACTGTCAGCAATTTATGCTAATCCTGTACCAACCATTCGAGAGAAGTTATGGCAACATCTAGAACAGTTCACTTATACAGACAGTTTGCCATGGCTTTTACTTGGAGATTTCAATCATATTATATCAAGTGATGAGCATTCTAAAGGACGAGTCACAGGGCTTCGTGGGGCATCTCTTATGATGAGCTTTATGCAAAATAAAGGTTTAATTGACTTAGGTGCTGCAAGGTGCAAATATACATGGACTAATAGACAACTTGGTGGCCACCTAATGATGAAAAGATTGGACCGAGCTTTATCAAATGTTTCTTGGAGGGTTTTGTTTCCAGAGGCCTTTGTACAGAATTTGCCACGCACAAGGGGGGACCACTGCCCTATCATCTTGAATACTAAAGGGCTTGATATTCCTTGTCGCAACCATCGACCTTTTCGGTTTGAGGCGGCATGGTTAACGCATCCTTCCTTCAAAAATTTGTTGGTTAATTCATGGAACCCTGATGTTTCCTTACATAATGCTCTTAACATCTTCATGAGGGAAGTGCAGAATTGGAATCAACAAGTTTTTGGCAACATTTTCCATCGGAAGCGTAGACTGCTTGCTAGATTATATGGAGTGCAAAAATTGCTTGAAACTCAACCCCGACCATCTTTGTTTGCCTTAGAGACTCATCTTCTAAAGGAGTACAATGATACCCTACAGCAGGAAGAACTTCTTTGGTTTCAAAAATCTAGGTCAAAGTGGGTACAATTTGGAGATCGCAACACACGTTTCTTTCATAGCACAACAGTTATCAAAAGAAGAAAACAAAGGATTCTAGCCTTGAAAAGAGATGACAATACATGGTGTTTTGAACCGAATGAACTGCGTAATTTGGTGGTTAAGTTCTTCAAGACTTTGTATTCATCATCTGAGCAGGTTCTTGATCCTATGACAGTTATGAACTTTCCGCGATGTGGGCGGTTAAGTGCTGAGCAGTACCAGCAACTCATAATACCAATTTGTGATGAAGAAATCCAAAAAGCTATTTTCTCGATGGACCCCTACAAAGCACCGGGTGATGATGGATTCCAACCAATCTTTTTCCAAGCAAATTGGGATATTATTGGTGCTAGTGTGTGCTCCTTTATCAAAACAGCTTTCCAACAAGGCTCGTTTGACAAAGATCTTAATATAACACTACTTTGCATCATTCCAAAAGTGGAACACCCAAAAAGACTGAATTAGCTACGCCCTATAAGCTTGTGTAATGTTGTGGTCAAAGCTATCATGAAGGTTATGGTTAATCGTATCAAACCTTTCTTGACTAGCATTATTAGCCCCACCCAAAGTTCTTTCATTCCAGGGCGAGGATGCCATGATAATATCATCATAGTTCAAGAGGCCATTCACTCTCTGAAAAATTGCAAAGGACGGGTTGGCAACTTTGCAATGAAAATTGATCTTGAAAAAGCTTATGATCGTATTGAATGGAGTTTCTTGGAATGGGTTTTACGTGATGTGGGGATACCAGAAAGTTGGATATCCTTGATTATGTTCTGTGTTAGTACATCCAGCTTTTCTCTTCTCTGGAATGGGGAAAAAATTGAGCCTTTCACCCCTTGTCGGGGGTTGAGACAAGGCAATCCCCTCTCACCTTACTTATTTGTGTTGTGCTTGGATAGGTTATCATAAATGATTGAGAATGCAACTAGGACAAAGCAATGGGATCCTTTCCGAATTACACGAAAAGGGCCATCTCTATCTCATTTATTTTTTGCTGATGACTTGGTATTTTTTGGTAAAGCTACTATTAATAATATGAGAACATTGATGGATTGCCTTCAATCTTTTTGTAATATTTCAGGTCAGAAAGTAAATGCTAGCAAGTCAAAGATCTTCTTTTCTCCAAATACAAACCAAGGATTAATTGATGAGATCACTCAATTTTCGAGGATAGAAGCAACAGATGACCTTGGTCGCTACTTGGGTGTTTCTTTACATCACAAGAGAGTTACTAGGGCGACCTATTATGACTTGCTTCATAAAGTTAAAACCAAGTTATCAAGCTGGAAGGCTGCACAATTATCTTTTGCAGGACGCCAAGTGCTAATTAAATCAGTATCTTCCACAGTTGCAAACCATGCCATGCAGTCTGCAAAGCTTCCTAATGCTGTGTGTATGGATATTGATAGAGCCAATAGGGAATTTTTATGGGGAGGATCGGATGACAAACGTAAAATTCCACTAGTTCGATGGGATGTGGTCTGTACCCCTAAAGAGTTTGGTGGCTTAGGATTTAGATCAACCTCTTCCATGAATTTAGCATTGCTATCCAAAGTAGGATGGAAGCTTGCAACTGAGTCAGAGCCACTGTGGATTCAAATACTAAAGGCTAAATATTTCCCTAATTGTGATTTTCTTCAAGCAGAGTCTAAACAAAATGCATCATACACATGGAAGGGCATTTTAGCAACTCAAGAATTGGTCTCCATGGGCATGGGTCACATGGTTAACTCAGGAATGAATACATCTTTTTGGCTTAATAGCTGGCTTACTGATAGACCTTTATTTTTTGTAGCTACTGGCCCCATTCCTGAATCTGAGTTACGAAAGATGGTGGTAGAATATTGAAACTCTAATGGATGGAATTGGGGACTACTTAAACCTATGTTACCTGATAATATTATACAATTACTAGAGCTCCATGTGCTTAATGATCAAAATTTAGAAATGGACTCTATTTATTGGAATAGCTCTAGTACTGGTGAGTTTTCTACAATGAGTGCTTATGAATTATTGACTAATTCTAGCCTTTCTCCATTGGTAGGTTGTTGGAGCAAGGTATGGAGTTTAACAACACCTCCAAAGGCCAAGTCCTTATTATGGCTCATGTTGCATGATAGAGTTCTAAGAAATAGTGCCAGATTTGCAAGAGGGATTGCACAGAATGATACTTGTCCTCGCTGCTATACTCATGGAGAGGATATTCTGCACTTATTTAGGGACTGTTCGGTATCTAAAAGGATATGGAAGAGGTGGATTAATGATAGTCTTTGGCTTCGTTGGTAGCAGATGGACCACTTGACATGGATCAAACATAATCTTTCATGCACAAATGTTACGATTGAGTTTGATTTAGAGTGGGGTGTGGCCTTTGCAATTATTTGCTGGTATATTTGGCTTAGACGGAATAAAGTAGCTTTCGATGATGACTTTGCATAGACCAACAATAAAGAGTCTATGCTGAAGAATCATTTCATAGAGGCTGCTTGCCTTTTGAAGCAACATCATGCAAGCTTGAGAAGGGAATTTCAAGTAGGTTGGGATCCTCCACCAACTAGATTTGTTAAGTTAAATGTTGATGGTTCTGCTCGCAGTTCACCTAGCCTTTCAGCGGCTGGAGGCTGTTGCCGTGACGCATTAGGAAATTGGTTGTTTAGCTTCAATCAACAGCTAGGTGATGGCCACGCCATTCGTGTAGAACTTTTTGCTTTATGGAAAGGCATGGAGCTAGCTTGGAACATGGGGTTTCAACATGTTATTGTGGAGACAGATTCTCTTTTAGCTGTTCAAAAATTGCAAAGTAGCTCCACAACAATTACATCATTGACTTATTAGGTTCAAAGGTGCAAGTCTCTCATGGAAAGAGATTGGACATGTGTGATTCGACATGTGTTTCGAGAGCAAAACGTTTGTGCAAATGCAATGACATCTCAGTTTTATCACCTAGGGGGAGGTTTCCTTTACTTTGAACAACCCCCTGATGTGGTTCGATCTCTTCTTCAAGAAGATAATTTAGGAATTGTAGGCCATGTGCCACTAGATAATCCAATGCTGTAAGCATTGCCCAATGTACCAAAAAAAAAAAAATAGTATAAGGTGGTGGGGTTTTTCGTATGTCATGCATGGTAATTTAGAGCAAGGTTTTGAACAACACTTTTGGACAAATAGAGGAGGAAGGGCAATGGTGGGTAGGAGGTTGTATGGTTTGTTGTTGTGTGGACTTTATGGTTGTATATAAACGAACTGTTATTCAAGGCAATTGATTCTGATGAGGAGAAACTATTCACATTAGTTCAAACACAATCGTTTCTTTGGCTAATAGGAAGAACAGGGCAGGTGGACTTTTCATTCAAGGATTGGACCTCTTCTCCAGGGGAATGCGCAAAGAAAATCAAAATGGGGTGAGGAAATGAACGCATCGGGTGGGTATACTTGTATTGGAGTGGTAATTATCTAGCTCCAGAGATTGTAAAGAAGGAATAAACCAAGAATGCATGTGGTTTTGAATACCTATTGTATTTTATATTAATAAATTTTTTGTTGTTAAAAATATATATAATTGATTAAAAGATAATTTTTATCTAATTTTATAT